AACTTTTTTTTTTAAAAAAACAATTTTTTAACACAAAAATTTTTAATTCAAAAAATTTTTATAATAAAAAACTACTTAAAACAAAATAAGAAAATTGTCTCAAATGAAATCCTAATATCTCAATTTATAATGGAATTCTCAAGCTCTTGAATTTATCAAACATTTTATAATAAAAGCTATGATGATTATTATTGGCATAAGAAGCCTCATTGATCTATGTGTGACACCCAAGAATGCATCTATTACAAGACCAATACAACAAATTGAAATTATCAATAAAAATCATTCAATAATTAAAGTTTTATGAAGAACAATAGAAATATTTCTGAAGAGTATCATAAGAGCTACTGATTTTATAATGCAGCACTCTCTATCTAAGAAATAAAATGATTGCATTATGATATAACTTCAAAAATTTATGGGCTATGATTTATCACTAAATCCATTATTTTTAGAATCTTTCACATTTATCAATATGAAATAAATAAACATTCAAGTACTATTATTTATAACAACATCATCTCAAATTTAGGCTTCATTTGGTATGGCGGCTTCACTGTATCTTCTTAAAGCAGCTTTTTAGAAAGCTGCTTTAAGAAGCAGTAAGAAAGCCTTCCCAAAAGAAGCCTATAAGTCCAGAAAATAAGGTGATTACTGATTCCCATGCTTTGGCCCTCCCTCCATACCCCTCTTGTCATCCCAGCCTCTCACCCAAGGCTGGCCTGGTTCTGCACGAGTTGCAGGAGCAGCATAGTTGTTGAGATTTTCCAGCACTTTAGCTTGGATAGAACTGAAGACCTGAAATGGTAGCAAAAGGCTGCAAATGAGATGAATTTAATAAGATATCTGGAGATGATTTTTCAAAGTCGTCAGTACTCAACAGTATTGCTGTTTATAGCATCAGGTGGTGGTTCTTGGCCGGAGAGCCACTTCCACAGATCTGGATTTTCCTGGAGAATTGACCACACATCATTATAAGGCTAAGTAGATGAAGAAGTATCAGAAATCAGAAAAGAAACTGATACACCATCACATTCTCAATGCAATCTTATTGAATTTAGTTTGGAATACATTGTGATCTAGAGAAGAAAGTTTCAATCTTTTGCATTTGTGTAAATCATTCCTGATGAATTTTTGATCTGAAAACCCTAAGCTAGATAAGCTTAGGATAAGGTTGCTTTATGCATCTTTACCTTTTTATTGCCGAGAGGTTGTTTCAATTTAGATTAAGGAGAAAAATCTCAGTCATAAATGGCATGCATTCAGAATCTATATTAAACTTTAATTTGTTTATATCATACAAAAACAGTCATCCAATACAAATATAGATCATACACCTATGGCAAGCTTCAAAGAAATAGTTCTATAGGGATGATATCAAATTGAGTTCGATCGATCGAGCTCACGTAAACTCAAAATAAAAATTCCATGTCAACCTGGACCAAGTTCAAGTTAAATCAACAGTGCTTATAACTCTTATATCTTATACCTGTTGACGTCTATACAATATCCAAAAGAAACAAAAATGAAATCATACCTTAACCGTT